TTTTTACTTAAGAATCAACTATATTTTTTACCCAAGTGGCAGAAATTGGTTTCCATAAAAAACACACAATTTCACCTGATGTGAAATTAAATAAAGACGGCATGTCTGCAACATACGTGAACATAACAGTTTAAAGCTGTCATTTGCAGCAAATCCCAGGGTTTCAAACGACAGCCCTGTCTTACACTTGTGCTCACTAAGGACGATACCACTATGAAGCAACAAGTAAGCAAACATGAAGGGTAGCAATGTTTTTTTTTTATGTCACAAGATGTAAGGCCTCACTGTCCACCATCAGAGTCTGAGTCGCTGTAATCTGCCACCAGGGAGGCGACTGCTCCTCCGCTCCTGTCCACTTTCCTCTCCACATGATTAATCTGTCCTTCACACACTTCCTCTGCAGGTTTAACAACATTTGTCTCCGATTTTTGAAAGACTCTTGCGGCTCTATCATCTCCATTCGAGTCTAATTGTTTCTGAGTCCTGTTCTCGTGCGTGTTCACTTCAGGGTCCACATTTCCACGGGTGACAGTGGCGCTAGGTTCTGTTTTGAATCCAGGTCCTCCGGTGCGTTTGATGATCAGTGGACTCTGTGAGGTGCTGAAGGATTTGGCCATTGCTGCTTCTTTCCCCTGCATGCTGAGTCTGTGGAGCAGACTGCCTGCAGCGCCCCCAGGTGTCGCTGCAGGGGAGCTGAACCATGAACGTGAGGAGATCTCCTTCCTCTTGCTGTGCTGCTTCACCTCATATGCTGAAAAAAAAGAGAGGGGAAATGCAAAGATCATGAACTTTAACTGAAGTGAATAATAACATCGTTGAGATTGACATGATTTATAGATTATATTTAAAAATTTTCTTACAGTCCGGTGATTGATAAGTCAACAGTGCTGCCAGTTTCTTGTCCTCTTCCTTCTCCGGCAGCAGAGGGATAGACAGGTTAGTCCTCATCCTCACAGCGTTGTCCTTCTCCTCCTGCTCTGCCAGAACTTTCTTCTCCGTCTGCATCAGCAATTAAAGCAGAGACATCGTCATTTTGCACAGCACAAAAATGCAACATTGCATTTCTAAGAATTTATAATTCTAATTATATTGTACTTACTTATTAAATCACACAAAATCTGCATTTTGGTAAATTTACATGTACCCTCTGTGCTGTACTGTATATACTGTAATGTATATCTATGAATATTCAGTATCCCATCTTATTTTTCATATTTCTAAAAAATTCTGCTCCTGTAAGCTGTAAAACCAAAACAAACAATAAAGGCTTACTCTAAACTTCCTGCGGAGACTGCTGTTGAGCTGGAAGTCATCCTTCCAGCTGGACTGGTGTTCCTGGATTTCTGACAGAGATGGCAGAGCTTTTCTGAGCTTCTCCTTGTCTTTCCCACCATGATCCAGCTTGTACATGGCATCCGTCTCCAGCTTCTCCTTCTCAGCCCTCTCTGTCCCGAACCACAAGAGAGTAAGTAGATGAGCAGGTGAAAATAACCTCACTCCAGTGCTACATCACAAAAAAAAACCCTCTAAATCTTTACCTGTGGTGAGGATCTGCTCATTTTCAGCCATGTCCCAGCGCTCCTCCTTCCTCTGTGCCCCAATAACGATCACATAGTCGCAGGTCGCCGGGTCTGTCTGCATTTCAATGTAGTTGACACACAGGTGGCACTTCATCCTAAACCTGGTTGTTTATTGGAACAGTAGGTTAAAATATTTAAAAATAAAAAACACGCTCATATCAAGCAGAAAAAAATTATCACATACTTGTCCTCTTCCTTCTCCGGCAGCAGAGGGATAGACAGGTTAGTCCTCATCCTCACAGCGTTGTCCTTCTCCTCCTGCTCTGCCAGAACTTTCTTCTCCGTCTGCATCAGCAATTAAAGCAGAGACATCGTCATTTTGCACAGCACAAAAATGCAACATTGCATTTCTAAGAATTTATAATTCTAATTATATTGTACTTACTTATTAAATCACACAAAATCTGCATTTTGGTAAATTTACATGTACCCTCTGTGCTGTACTGTATATACTGTAATGTATATCTATGAATATTCAGTATCCCATCTTATTTTTCATATTTCTAAAAAATTCTGCTCCTGTAAGCTGTAAAACCAAAACAAACAATAAAGGCTTACTCTAAACTTCCTGCGGAGACTGCTGTTGAGCTGGAAGTCATCCTTCCAGCTGGACTGGTGTTCCTGGATTTCTGACAGAGATGGCAGAGCTTTTCTGAGCTTCTCCTTGTCTTTCCCACCATGATCCAGCTTGTACATGGCATCCGTCTCCAGCTTCTCCTTCTCAGCCCTCTCTGTCCCGAACCACAAGAGAGTAAGTAGATGAGCAGGTGAAAATAACCTCACTCCAGTGCTACATCACAAAAAAAAACCCTCTAAATCTTTACCTGTGGTGAGGATCTGCTCATTTTCAGCCATGTCCCAGCGCTCCTCCTTCCTCTGTGCCCCAATAACGATCACATAGTCGCAGGTCGCCGGGTCTGTCTGCATTTCAATGTAGTTGACACACAGGTGGCACTTCATCCTAAACCTGGTTGTTTATTGGAACAGTAGGTTAAAATATTTAAAAATAAAAAACACGCTCATATCAAGCAGAAAAAAATTATCACATACAAGATGTAGGAAGATTACAGAAATGTGTGTTATCACTAGGTACGTTTTATTTCCTCACATGTGCAAACATGTACAAACCATCATGGAAATGTACACCACAGATCAACCAACATCAGATAGTTAATCCAGATTTCATTCTCTGCCTGTTCACCTGTAGATTGGAGTGGTGTAGTACATCCCAACTTTCTTCTTCTCAGCATTGTACCTGACCCCTGAGCAAAAAAAAAACCCAACATGTTGGAGAACAATGATGAACAGATTTTTGTTGGAGTCTGAGAACAGGTCGATGTTTCCTTCACACTCACCCATGCCAATGTGATTTTTGCAGCCATCGCACCAAATGTTGTAGGGCATCTCAAACCTAAAAAAAGTATGATGCATATTTAAAAAAAAAAGTTTGATAGAATTGTAAAATCAGCTACAAATGTGCATACACATATACACCAACCTGATAATAAGGATGCCCTGGGACAGTTTTCTTGCCCTCTCCCTGAGCGCATGGGTTTTGTGATAGCCATTAAGAGATCCATGCTAAAAACAAACAACGCAAAACATGTAAATATAAATAAAAACATAATAAATTAATGCAAAAACGTTGATTCAAGGCAGTGGTTGACATGGGTTTGTGTATTCATACACACCTTGGCTGGGTCAAAATCTGGAGGGTAGTATTTGTTTGTTCCTTTTCTCTCCCCCTGAAAAACAACAGTTATCAGAAACAGTGAAAACTAAGTATATACTTTTAATTGACTAAATCTTGACAAGAATGTGCCATGATTTACCATTGTGACGTCAAAATGTCAACACCAGCAACTGGTTTACACCTCTGGAGGAAAAAATTAAATTAATGTCTGCAACCTAGCAGTTAGTAAATAGTTATATTGTAATGTTATGGCGTTGTAATGTACATAATGTACAACACGTGCATTAATAACAACAACACAAACATATATGGAACTAAAATGTATACAAACGAAACACTCATATGCGCAATAATTCAACTGCGGTAAACATACAACTGAAATTGCTTACGGAACGAACTGCTAATACCCAGAAAGCCAGCGAAGTGACTGCTTCTGAAATGCTAACATTGGCTAGTTAGCCACCTTTAGCAAAATACAAAAGACGATCATAACCATATAATTTAATGTCATGCTATTTTGTGTATAAACGTCTGAATTAACCGTTTTCACTGTATTATTAAGGGCACAAAACGTTTATATCTTCTCTTTTGTAGAAATAAAAACTTACAAATACTGTTGTAGTTGATAAACAGCAATCTCAACACCAAAGGGGTTGATGGGTAACAAATACGTCACTTCCACGTTTTGGTGTCGACATAATATGACGTTTCCGGAAGTACCGGCTTCAACACAGCATGGTTAGAGCTAAAATATTGTGGAGCTGAGAAAACCTCCTGTTGTCCACATGGATTCGGTGGAACACAAACGTTTCATCTGTTCTTTCCCCGACTGCTCCTCTGCTTATAACAAAAAGTGGAAATTAGACGCGCATTTGTGTAAACACACGGGGGTGAAACCGTTCGCCTGTGAGTATGACGGCTGCCGGATGTCATTCTGCAACCAGTCTCATCTGGCGAGACATGGACTCACTCACAGCGGACAGAAGCCGTTTGTGTGCGGCGAGGACGGCTGCACCGAGGCCTTCACCACCAACTCCAACCGGAGCAGGCACATAAGCCGCATCCACGTGCAGGGACCAAAAATGTACGTGTGTAAGTTTGAAGGCTGTGGCCTGGAGTTCAGGAAAAACAAACAGCTGAAGTCTCACGAGTGCGAGCAGCACACACAGCTGCCGCGTTATCGGTGCACTTACGAGGGTTGCCAGATGCGCTTCACCTTCCCCAGCAAGCTGAAGAGACACGAGAAGGTGCACCGTGGTTACCCGTGCCAAGAGGAAGGCTGCAGCTTCACCGCGAAAACCTGGACAGACCTCCTGAAGCACCGGAAGGAGCAGCACAAGCCCACCGTGAGCTGTGACAAGTGCAACAAGACATTCAAGGACTCCTGGTTCTTGCATCAGCACCAGAGAGTCCACTCTGAGGAGAGGGTTGTCCTGGTGTGTCCCAAGGATGATTGTGACAGGTCGTTCACTACTACCTTCAACCTGGAGAGCCACATCAAGTCCTTCCATGAGGAACTGCGTCCATTCACTTGCACATATGCGGGCTGTGGGAAGACATTTGCCATGAAGAAAAGCCTTCAGCGTCACGGCGTTGTTCATGACCCAGAGAGGAAGAAGCTGAGGGCCCCCAGACCCGGGAGATCCCTCGCATCCAGGTTGAGCGGTTACAGTGAAAAAAAGAAAGACAAACCGGTCCGGGATGGTGGGTCTGTCTCGACAAAGCCTCACTCACCTGTTGAGCTGCTGTCCCTCCTGCACGACACCTCCTTGTCATGCCGCCCAGCTGTGGTGGACACACACGGACACCCCCGTGTCCTGACCTCACCTTTGACGTCGTAGGGTTTTACTGCAACAGGAGCAGGTTCTCCATGGAAGCACTGATGCAAAGTTTCAAGCTTGGCATCCAAGTGACATGGAACACTGCGGGCATTGTTTATATGAGCATCGATTTATGGATTCTTTATGTTTATAAGAATATATATATATTTTTCTAAGCTATATATACACATATATAGTTTAAAAATGTTCAGCAACTTCACAGCAGGTTCATGTGGTCTTGTCTGAAATGACAAAAATGCTCTTTTTGTTTAATTTAAGTTGTATAAAGAATTAATATCACCGGATGATGTCTCGTTAATAGACGTCTGTTTGCACTTATTTAAATCACCAGTGTTAAAATAAGGCACATCATAACAAAATACGGGAATTGTTTACCCACCGCTACCTCCGTCAGTCGGTGATACGGTGATTAAGATGCCTTTTATTTTATATTTTACAACGGTGACACAACTCTGTCAGCGAGACAGTAGCTCAACAGTCCTGAAAATTAAAAATCAAATTTTCTGTTTGAGTGTTTCAAATGCTGTTATATGTTTCACCTTGATCAAGGCTGGAATAAAAATGAAATCACAGTTGTATGATTTATTGTATGAGTTTTTTTTTTTTGTCAAGTGGTCAGATGGCAAGTTCATACTGTTGGGTGACATTCCCATAAACAACTAGAAACCAAGAAGCTCAAGTAACTTTGTGCCCCATAATCTCTCACTGGGACGATGTTCATGTTGCAGTGCATTTGTAATAATAATTACAAATGTAATAAAAAGAGTTCTCTTTTAATAGATCAATAATCACCCAACCCCCGTCTTTTGGCACTCAGTGGGGGGGGGGTCATCGGTGAAATTATTAACATCTCAGGTCTGCTGGAATTGCGGAACATCTTTGTTCTGAACCTGGAGATTTAGGATTCTGTTTAAAGATAGTCAACATTCCAAGTCCAAATCCTCCCTGAATATTTCCAGTTACAGGAAGGCTGCTCCCTGCATTCCTGACCTGCTCGGTTCAGACAAGCCCTATATGGACTGACGGTCCGTCCAGCTCATCCAGGAATGCACGGTTGGACTCGGACCACGATCCGTGTCCACACAGCTTTGATGTAACACGGAGTTTCCTGTAATCACTTCCTGCTTGAAGAGCAGACTCCTGAAGTCATCACAGGGAACAAACGCATGTCTTACAGTGTCACGCACTCTGAGTTATCAGTACTCGATTACATCATGTCTAGTGCGGCCGAACCAAAATCTCACCTAATAACATCTACAACTGCTGGAGTGTACGCTGTCATAAGACTCATTTTGTTTCCTAATCTTTCCATTAGCCAACTTTTACTAACTGGAAACTTGGATTTATTTAGACCACTTACTGTTTGTGGCCAAAGTCCATTAAAAAACCCATCAGTTTCCTCTTAGAGACTTCAAAACATTTCAGCACAAGAACAGAACGACGTTTGACGAATGACGTTCCTCTTTGTCCCCCAGTGTCTGTGTCCTTCCTGCCTTCAGGCTCATGAAGGCTCATCTTCATCTTGCCTCCACCAACGTCTGACCATGTTCCTCACCACATTGACCGTGGTCTCAGCACGAGGTGGAAAATAATTCTGATCTTGAACTTTCAACCTGAGTGAAGATCGACTGAAGGCCTCTGTGATGATGCTTTGAGGCCGGGGTTTATTCTCAAACAGAGTGAGACGACTGTGTATCGACACCGTGTAACTACAGCTCGAAGTTAAGGTGATAACGCTGTATGAAATGCTCTGCTGAAGTTGAACATCGTTGAAATATACGGTTTCATTTTCAGTGTGTAATTTAGTGCGGAAAAACCTAATCCCCTGAAAGAATAACTGAAATTCTCCACAGTAAATTTCCGCAGCATAATTTCAGAATCTCCAGATGATTTCTTCCTAATACACATCACCAGAGCTATAACACATGAGGAATAGGGCTGTTAAAGTGTCATAAATAAAGTTAGACTCCCAGTGGAAACAGTCCTCCTGTCTATATTCAACTAAGTGGACCCAGGTGGAACGCATTAACAGGAGCCCAGTCTGAGCAACGTCAGTTCTGCCATTATTTATTTTAATAGTAATAGAGCACAGACTGATGACTGTTGTAGAGTGCAACAATATTAGAGCTGACGAACGATTAAAACATTTAGTCAGATTAACTACGGGGATTACTGTGGATTAATCATTAGTCGAGATAAACTGATGTTAAGAAAGAGAACAAGAAAATCTGTAACAGAAAAACAGTAACATAACAGAAGGTCGGTGTGAGTGTTAGCTTCATGGAGTTGGTGGATTTTAGTCGTGACTGTGCATCTGGAGATGCTGTTGAACCTCAGAGGAGTCGTTGTCCTCAACAATATTAATCAGTCTGCAGTTAGTCTACACTCCAGTGACAGCTGTGTCAGTCAGCGCGACCTGACGGCCACGCGCTTCCCTCCACACCACGAGCGCGCCTCTTCACTGACATGGTATTTTAAGCTCAAGGTGATTCAGTGAAAACATTTGTGTATATTAATAACAACGTGTGTGAACAGTGGAATTAATTTCACAGAATAATTATCGCAGTTCATTTTGACAACTTTAACCACTATCTGATACCAAAATTATATCAAAAAAACATTACTTTTAGGAATATAAAATCTAGGATAAAGGAAACTTGCAGCGATGTCTCTGAACTGCTGTAAACACCAGTGACTCACTTCAAGATAAAGTATGATGAATATTCCAATATGGGATGATTCTGGTAAAGGTCAAGGCAAAGGTCAAGTAGGGCTGCACAAAGCTTTGACCCAAGGAAGTAAAGTGAAGAGATTTTATTAAAATAAAATGGTGGAAATTCACCAAAGAAGATCCATCCATCCATCCATTTTCATCCGCTTATCCGTTACCGGGTCGCGGGGGGAGCAGTCGCCACCCAAATCACATTGCACCATAACAACCCCTCAAACCTTCCTGTGGGTGGTGAGTCCACTGGAAGGTATTAACCGCCCTAACCGGGATTCGAACTTGTCCAGGAGGTGAACCCTGGGGTTCCACACCAATGACAGAGACATTGCCTCTGGGCCAAAGCGCCACCACCAAAGAAGAATGTACGTATATTTCCTACATCAGGCTAACGTGTTCAGGAATGCTGTCTCGCACTGTGGAATCAGATATTTTTAAAAAAACTTTCCTATTTCTTCTTTATTTCCCACAGATCGTGATTCAGTCGATTTAAACTCCCTCTTAGTTTAAAACAGTGCTGTTGCTGTTGATACATTTACGACTTTAACTCATGGAAAACACAACAGAAAGTCAAGATGCTTTTCTGGGCGGTTGTGTAAAAATATCTTCAGTATGGCATTATGACATTCCTTATTTATATTCTTAATGTTTTGATAAATTAAAGACATTTGTGGATGGCAGAAAAACGGACCAAATGTTTGCAGCATTGGAAAAAAAAACCCTTCCAAATTCCAAGGGCTGACATTCATTCAGGCCCTAAAAACTATTTCTAAGGCATATTCTACATGTCAGCCACACGTTGCTGGTGAAATCCCTCAATTTATGGAGCAGCTCAAGACTGGTCCTGGAATGTCTGTGGAGCGAGGCCTTGTTGTTTTCAAATTGTAACCTCCTTCATTCAACATATTTTTTGGTACCTTTCAGCAAAAATACTGACGAGAAAGTAAACATTGGCAAATCAGACTCACACGTCACTTCTTCCTTTGCGTTTGTGAACCCGTTCTTATCATCCTGTTCTATCTACGCAGTCATGTATCACACATTCCTCTCAGCACCGTTCAAAATTACGTCATTATCAGCTTTTTAAGAAGCCCCGAAACTCCGGGGAAATCCGTCTTTCCAGACAGAAGCCGAGATCCTCTGGAAAAACATCTGCGAGAGAATCAGCAATAAACCTGGTGATTTACACCAATTAGATAATCCTAACAGGACAAATTCTGGGTCTAGCGCCCGCCTGTTCTCCTACACTCCTTGTCAGGCTCAGGTGAGAGGGATGATCTGTTGGCAGAGAAGTGGTTAGTGTCTGTCTCCCCACTTCACCCCGTCTTATCCTCCCCCCACTTCCCCCCCACCGACTCCTTTATCTCCGAGGGCTATATATTGGAGGTCGTGACTTGTCTGCATCTCGAACGTTGCTTGCAGACATTTGCTTATGATACAATCACCATATCTGTGCTACGGTGAACAGAGACGCGATGGTGCACCTACTGCAGCTGGTTCTGGTTCTGTTTTGCATACAGAGTGGGGAGGGTCGCTGGATGAGACACCAGAGTGGTAAGTGTTGGGTCAAGGAATGACCAGATCCTGTCAACCTGAGCCTCAGAGTTAGATTAAGTCTGTGTACATAACAAGTTGTTGAATATGATCACTCTGGATTTGGATTTTCAGTGTCTGTGTCTTAATTAGTTTTTTTGTTTTGTTTGTATGAAATCTGTTGATTTTAATTTAAAAAATTAAAGAACAATTTAGTGTTTTTTTAAATGTCAGATGTAAGACTGTCTCCTTCTCCTTTTTTTTTTCTTTTTAGATCAAAAACCTGAAGCGGCATCTCCATACACACAGGAGGACAAAAAACGTCCATATCCAGATGAGACAGAAGCTTCTGGAGCTCAGCCGTCGACCGCTGCCATCACTCCCAACCACGTCCGGTCTCGCCGCTCCACCGTGGAATCTCACTGCAGCTTGCGCTCCGTACTGCTGCAGGTCCGAGACCTTGGTTTAGGCTACGATTCAGATGAGAGCATCCTTTTCAAGTACTGCAGCGGGACTTGTCCCCGCGTCCTCTCCAACCACGACCTGACGCTCTCCAACCTGCTGCTCAGCGGCCTGCTCACTCACCCTGCACCCGGGCAGCAGTGGCACGACTCTCCCTGCTGCAGGGCCACGCACCACGAGGACATGGCCTTTCTGGACAACTCACACCGATGGCACAAGGTGGAGAAGCTGTCGGCCGCAGGCTGCAGTTGTGTGGGGTAAAAGAGGAGGAGGGTGAGGAAATATTAATGAAAGCAGAGGATTATCTGTAAATCAAGAGTTAACCAAAGAGCTAAAACACTTTCTTATGAAATAAGCTTCAACTTTAGCAAAAAAATTAAACCAAAAAAAAAAAAAACCAAAAAAAACAGGCAGCTTTAGTTAATGAACAATCTGCAAAACATCTGTCACTATAATTATTTTAGACCAAAACCCTTCACGTGTAAATAGATTTTATGTAATGGTGTAAATAGAAAAGCTTTCTGACTGAGAAACAACATAGATTTAATTTCTTTTTTACTTGAATATTGAATCAACAGAGGAAAGTCTCCGATCACCTGATGATCATGAACGATGACTGATCGCTGTAGATCCAGGACCTAGTAATCAACACCAGCTCAACTGCAGTTAAAATGCGATGTAATTAAACAAACCATTTGTTATTTAACGTTAAATGAAATTCTTCCCATTTGTATCAAGAAGTTCGGTTATATGCAACCAGGCTACGGTTTATAAAAGACGTTGATACAGAGTTGAAACTTCTCAGAGATCCTTTAAGAATTTTTACGGAACAAAAAAAAGTCACATTTCCTTAATACATAATATAATTTGTGCTGGATAAGTGTCGTCTGATTCAATGTGAACCACAAAAACTAAAACCCTACCCCTGGTCTCAGCATCAAACTCTAATTTGTAAACAAATGTTTTTTGTAACAATGCAGCCAAGCCTCGCTACTTGACTTTTTTTTTAAAATAAGCTCTTGTGTATTTATTGTTAATATTCTGTACAATGTTGAAAATGACATAAAGTAGGAGTTCATAGCTGTGTGTGTGAAGCTTCAGGAGAGAAAGGTGTCATTGGTCAAATGAGTGCCTGTATTTATGTGATATAAGTTATTTATTTATTTGACGTTGCCTCTCGTGATGCTGATTAATTTATTCTGTATTGTGCTCATCTCTTGGTTCCTAATAAACTGATATTACAACGTGTACAGAGCTAAACTGCCTTTGAGGTCATTTTTTTTTAACGTGTCAGAAATACTCTGTAATAACTAGGCTGTTTTTGGTATATGAAGCAATACAACAAAAGAAATCATAGCTTTGAAAAATTCACACATTACAAAAATAAAAGTCAATACTTTTTTTATAACCAGCCTCTATTCTCTGCAAGCCTATTCAACGTACCTATACATTTAAGGTCATATATTTGTCCTCTTCTTTCTGTTCTTACCTGCATTGGTCATGCTGCGTCACAAACAGACCAGAGTTTTGACGGACATGGACTGTGTATCTCACAGCCCACGCTGTGTAAATTTTTATTATTATTATTTAATTTTTTTTTCAGCCCACACTGTGTAAATTTTTATTATTAATATTTAATTTTTTGGCCTCCTCTTGTTTCATCTTCAATTTTATTCTTTTTTGTTTTGATTTAGGTGTAGAAATTGAGTCCATCGTTTGTTGGTTATTGTGGCATTTTATCTCAACAACAACTTGGCCAATTGGCTATGACTTTCAGTTGTTCCTCCATGATGAAATCACTGCTGATTGGCCCTCGTCCCCTCCCTCGTTTTTATTAGTTTATAAATGCATCAGAACATGTTGACATTTAGTCCCCTTTTTATTAATAAACAATTAGAAATATCTTCATCATTTCTTGCTTACAGAGAACGGTGAAAAAGTAAACACTAACAATGGCTTTACACTCACACACACACACACACATAAATACATGACACCAGAGTAGCTGTCACTGTCCACTCACAATGGATGTCAGCCCCGAGTCTGAACTCTACTTGGAGTCACTCTCCGTCTCCTGTGGCTCTGCTGCCCACACCTGGACACGGCCCTCCATGGACGTGAGGAGACAGGCCTCAGTGGGATGGAAGGACAACGACTGGACGGCCGCTTTCCCCACAGGCAGCTTTAAGGACAACGACCCCTACAGGCAAGAGTAAGTATAAGAGTTGTGTCTGTGTGGTTGCAGACAAATCAGAAAAAAAAGGAAGTTTTGTTGCTTACCTCCACCAGGTCCCAGCAGTAGACATGTCCATCCTCAGAGCAGCTCAGGACGTGTGTGTCCTTACTGGACAGACAGCAGTCCAGCTTGTAGCCCTTCATCTTGTGGCCGGTATACCTGCAAAAACAAACACAAATATATATGTATATATGTTATTTACATCAAATGTCAAGTGAATTTAATTCTAATAATGTAACATTACTTTTGATTTATTTATTTGAAAATCTGTTTTTATAAAAAAAAAACAACAACAAATGTCACTGAGACAGTGAGTGTGAAGGCGACTCACTCTCCCAGCATCTCCCCCGTGCTCTTGTCCAGCAGCCGGACTGTTGAATCCAGGCTGGAGCTCAGGGAACACTGACCATCCTGAGTGAAACACACACAGGTGATGGGACCTGCAACACACACACACACACCAGTTAAAGATGGAACGAACCTCCGCTGCTGTTTGCACATTCAAAATAAATCATGAAATATTCCCTTCATATCTTTTCTTAGGCAATGATGTAATCAATTATTTCCTACTAACTGCCAATGCAGTCCACGTGCAGCTGGCCCATCCTCAGATCGTAACGTCTCACTCTGCCATCCACTGATCTGAACACAAGAGGGCATTAGAAACAAAACAACAAACTGTTATTAGTTCATGTTGGTTTAAGGACAGAGTTGATCCCAGTATGTGACTTGATTTCTCACCCACTGAGCAGTTCATGTTGCACCACCTTCAAACTGCTGACGCCGTCCGTTGCCTCGTCCAGAATTTGAATTGGATCATACTTCCTGGATCTGGTGTCCCAGCACCTAACTGTCCCATCAATGGATCCTGAACACAACATAACGTTGGTGAAAATGATTTTATTTTTTAAATTCTATATTTGTCATGTTGATGACTTGAACGTTGACTCACCAGAGAGGATAACAGTTGCCTCTTCATTGAATTGTACACAGTTTACTTTCTGTAATCAAAAGTCATCAAACATTTTAACTTCACTAATTAAATACAATAAATATAAGGAACAAAACAATGAGCATAAAAGCTGTGCAAGACCAACTGCTGTAATATAAACTGAAAAAACAAACAAACAAACAAAAATGACCCCACTGACCCCAGCATGTCCTCTGAGTTTGCGTGTGATCTGGCCTGTGGCAACGTCCCACAAGATCACAGACTTGTCTGAGCTGCAGGAACAGATGTGGCTGTTGTCATAGGAACTGGGGGAGAGAAACACAAAACACTCAGTGCATTTGCCTTGAAGAAAAAAACATCTTAAACATGTTAGTCTGACTATAACTAGCTTTTCTGTCTACAAACCATCAATATATATATATTTTTCCTAAAAAGGTTCCTGCATGTCTCCATTAGAAAATCTACACCTATCCTTATCCTACATTTACATATAAATACAATGACATCCTGTTGGAAGTGGATGGTTCACAGAACTCACCCATCAGCGTCCAGAACATCGTATCCATGGCCAGCGTACGTCTTCAGCAGAGTACCACTGCCCACACTCCACAGCTTCAGTGATTTATCGCTGCCACACGACAGCAGATAGTTTCCGTCAGCTGACCGGAAAAAAGATTGGACAAAGGCAGGAAAAAAGATAACATTTAAACGACCATTATCCTCAAAGAACATCACAGCACTTGAAGATTCTGTCTTACCGTTGAAGCGAACAGCTCTGACAGCTCCCTGCTGACACTCTATCGTCCTTAGCAGATGCTGAGGAAGCTGAGGAGCCTGAAGTTTGGGCAGAGGAAACGCCATGGCCGCACCTGGACCAAAAAACCACAAAAGCAGGTATTCCAACACACCACGCATGATTCACAATGCACAAATACGAGTTTAATAAAACTGAGGGAAGGTCTACATGCTTGAAGTTTCTGATCGGAATGTTTTCTAAATAGAACGTTTTTAAAGACAAAATATTAGTATTAATACTGTCTTTGAGTCAACATCCACATTAACTTAGAGCGTTGGTGTAATGCATACATATTTTCTTTGTTGGATTTTTTATTCAACGCAGTGAGTTCCAACTCCATTGAAGTGTGTTTTGTTATTCATATTTTGCACCGTTCAAAGTTAGTTACCAATGTAATACTCACAAGCAAATACGGGTTTCAAACGCAGATGAGCGACATGTCTCTAAAAGCAGCACAGTTATGGATTACTAGCTTATTAAATGCACTTAAAGTTTACACGTTTTTCCCATTTCTAGAGTTGTATTTCTGCCTATTTTACCCAGAATGCTTTTCTTTCCGAAGATGCGCGATGGCGTAAAAGTTACATTTCAAAATAATTGTTTAACAACGCAACGCCAGTATTTTCTTTGCTATGTCCTGAGACCTAAGCGTATGTGCAGCTTTTATTTTGAAGTTTGGCGGATAGGGCAACTTATATCCGGTGAATCTCTTTCCGTCCTCTTTAAACCTCCGTCAGCCGTGTGTTTTAGCCATAGCGGAGTTTAACTACGGTTTTATTTTCATTTTCAGGAGAACGTCTTAAAGCATTATGTCCTTCAACAACATGGCAGACCCACGGAGGCAAAATAAGATATTAAGGTCAGTATTTGTTGATATAAAATTATGTTTTATGCGTGAAATAAACCCCAATGACAACCGAGTCGGTTGGAATGCTGCTGAAGTTAATAGGCTAATCGGCTAATGTTTGACATAGCTTGTTGGGTGTAAATCAATACTTATTAGCTACCGGATGTAACCTTACATATCGGTTGGAAAGACACAATGATGATTGTCATTAATAATATTTTTAATGAAATTTTTTGAAAAACTTTTTACAAAACAAACGATTTTTACACCAAATGAAGTGCTTAACTGGTTATATCGTAAGAGTAATAAACATTTGTTTGTAAACATTTTGTTTAAGATTATTTTAGATTTGTATTTTGTTAGTTTTCTGACTCCGCTGCTTCACATTTGTCTTACATCTAAGGTATAGTACTTGTAATTATTTTTTGTTTAAAATATTCCTTTAAATGCTGTTAAGTTTTTGCTCTCAATCCTAAACCTTAAAGCAAAGATAATCTTAAAAGTATAGCAGGCATGGACATTCTGGTCAAACTAATAAAGTTGCACATCATTAGCCATCAGTTATTGAATATTGAATATCACGTTTATGAAAATCCTTTCAACTGTATTTCTTGATTTTAACTGTTAACTAGTTCTTTGTCAAGTTTGTCAAACCGCCAGCTGTTTCTGCAGATTTACTATAATTTATTTGATAACAATTATCCCTGATAGTTATTGTCCTAAACAGCTCTCCAGTTGTATTAATTATTCACTTAATTATTGAATTTGTTAAGTTGTTATCCTGAATATTTTTATGGTGTGTCAGGTACAAGGCCCCCAGCACCGAGACCAACCCCACACTAGAAGACCCCACACCTGATTACATGAACCTGCTCGGCATGATCTTCAGCATGTGTGGACTGATGCTCAAGGTTAAACACACACTCGCACACAATCCCATTCACACTAAACCTCAGTTTGTGTGTGTCTCTCTCTCTCCTCCCCCGTCCTCTTCCCTAAGGGTTTGTTGATGTTTGAGTTTGTCCACAGTAAAAGGGTGTTGCCCCTGAATGTCAGTGCTTTGTCTCGGTCAGTCGTTCCATTTAGAAGATTAAAGATAAACTCAGCTCTCACATGTGGGATTGAAGAGCAGCTTTTGACCTTGAGCACAAAGGGCAATACCCCTGAGACAAAGAAAGATGATGACTACACTTGTGGGTCTTGCCTCCGAGCTCTCTTCCAGACAATGTTTAATAGATTGCTTTTAAAGAGAATAATGTAGAATATTTACTCTTCCCATGTCCGTTCTCTGGATGCTGATGTAGTGACCTAAACCACTTTTGAAAATGGTATTTAGTGGGCCTGACTCTGGTCTACACGGCACAAAACCCTCCACTAAATATATTCTCTTGGAGTTTTTCTTTTTAATTAAGCTGTGCCACTGTGTGCATGTTTAATTATTGTACCCTGAGAAATGTTGGTCAAAGTATTAAATGTAACTTGTATCGCTCTGAAATCTGTCTAAAGTTGAAGTGGTGCGCCTGGATTGCCGTCTACTGCTCCTTCATCAGTTTTGCAAATTCCAGGAGCTCAGAGGACACGAAACAGATGATGAGCAGCTTCATGTGAGTTGACCACACTGTACACGAAAGCTTTTCATTCATGTTGAAAGGGTTTGTTGATGTTTAACAGTATTGCTTCATGTTGTACCTTTTTTATTATATAACAGCAGGTTCCAGCAACGGCTGAAGTGAAGTATCATTGGAGCATTTTACTGCAGTAAAATATGTATTTGACCTAAGTAAACCTGGTTAAAATTATACATTAGAGACATGGTGTTGGTTCAGTCTGTGAATTTTAATTTCAAATTGTTCAATCCTTTCCTTTGCTTGTGTTGTCTTCTCATAAGGACAAGAGTAAATTAAATAATCTTAGTTTTTGGCACTGAATTTCTCAACTGTACAGCCAGCTTTATTGATGAAAGCTTTTATCACGGTGACCTCTAGCTTTCATATTTGCTTATGGAAGAGTATTATGGTCAGAGCATCTGTGCAGACTCTTGCAGACAGATGTGCAATGACGACAAAGCTCCTCCTCCATCATCTTGATAAGGTTGCATTTAAGATGAAATTGCGCACAAAATGTTTGACTCAGCAAACAGTGTTATGGGATAAACTCGAGGCACCAGCATTGTTTACGTGTGTGTGCGCGCGTTTGTGTGCATGTCCACGCATTTGACAGTAGACTAGTACTGATGTCATTCTGTTCACATTAGCTGACCCGGTGTTAACCTTCACCCTGTGCTGTCTCCAGGCTCTCCATCTCAGCGGTTGTCATGTCCTACCTCCAGAACCCACAGCCTATGTCACCGCCGTGGTGAACAGAGATGCAGCACAGAAGTACGAGCGTCAAGACGGTGGGTCCAACCCCTCAGGCCATTGACGGGGAATGGACAGACTGAGTGGAAAATAATTGAATAGAAAGACATAAAGAAAGGAAACAGATGGACAGTAAGACAGACACTACGTCAACGTGGACTCTGCTAACTACTTTTGACGATAATTCTATTTTTAACCTGTTCATGGTCTTCTCACTTATGGAAAAGAACTTTAATGCTTAGAAAACTTTTGGGATGTTTCAATAAAAGATGTACAATTTTGAAACAAAGGGAAGCGTTCTGACTAAAACAATATTTTCTCTTGATACATTATTTACCTTTTTTAATGAAGTTCATGGTGGGCGACGCAAAGGGGTGCTGGGGTGTCCATTAATATCAGCCGACTGATATCATGGGCCTGATGTTAGCATAATTATGTGATATCTGTAAGAATCCTTAAGGGTTTTTCCTCCGATAATGAAAACCTGATAATGCAATGCCTGGGTTTCCTCAGGCCTATATCAGTATGGGTTGATACCGATACAGGCCTGGAGGTCAGTACAGTAATCTCAATATCAAGACTGTGCAGATGATGTCATCACCGTTCTTTCTGCTTCAGGGTGCAAGGGTTTAAGGAGAATGTTGGCGGTGGATTCAACCCAGAGCAGACGATGACGTCCACTCGTGTGTCCCTGCTCTTCAGTCGTCTCTCTCTCTCTCTGCCGTCAGCTGAATGTAAATCAGATTTACTGTCATCGTAACTTATATCACCGCTCAGAGCTGTCTGGCTCTCTGTCAAGTTCCACGTCAGTGTGTGAAGAAGTTCCACTTTCAGATAGTCTTCACATCATCTGCGCCCATAGCCCTGCAGTGGTGTGGACTGTCACCGGTGTCGTCCTTTTGTTGTTAGTTCTCCCTGGAGCAGATGTTTAAATCTGTCAGTAGTTGTCTTCAGCACTGACCGTTGGCCTGGATGACGTGGGTGTTACGTTCTGTGACGTTCTACCAGGAGTAGATGGGAAGGTTGGCAGCTGATTGGCTGCAGGCAGTTTTAATGGAGTCAAATCTCCACCTCTGTTGCCTCAAGGCGGGGCGTTCCAGGCCTTCACGTCATCTTGTTTCGTCACTAGAGGGTGCTGTTGCATCACACAGGGAAAAAAACTCTGAATGAAAAGGATGAAGATCATAGAATGTTGTGACAATATTATAATTGTTTTTTTTTACATTAACAGTAGGTTGTAGTTTTGATCTGTAAAATACTGCAGCCTCTGTTTCTCAGCAGAGTGCAATCATGGATGTCGTAGAAAATATAAATTTTACAAATTAACTGATCACTTTCAGAGATCCTACAGACTCAGGTATTTTCCTGGAGTCATTTATTTATAAGAGAATTGTGACTTTACTACGAGACTCGTCTTAGATCTTCAGGCTGTATCCTTGTGTCAAAAACAAAATAAAACAGTTCAGTCCTGAGGTGGCTGCAGATATGCCACTAGGACCTCTGGATACACAACTGTGTGGAGCTGTCAGTCACATCATACTATTTTTTAAAAATCTTTAATATATGTGGAGTCTGTGGAGTCAGGATTACACCATCAACTGCAGTTGTTACACAATCAAAGTGTCTCACTGTAAAGTTTCTCTTCTCAGGTCAAACCACTTCCACTTTCTTTGTGTTGAGATTAAGGTTGAGTGATTCACAGCAGCACAGCAATCAATTAAAGGCGTCTGTAATGAAGCCAAATGGAAGCAGGTTAAAAAAAAAAAAAAATCAACTCTCGTTCACAGTAGACGGCGGCTCTAAAACAGCAGGTGACGGACACGCAAATGTTTCTCATGAATGAATGAACCCAAGAGATAAGGTTAAGATAAGGACGTCCCACCGGTGACCACAGACCTTCTCTGACCTTTCACGGTCACGGTAACAACTAGGATTAAATATAAGGTTCCAATTTGGCTGCTGCTGTGGTGTCTCCTACTGAGTTACTTTGAGTAGACACATGAGTGACATGAACATGTGCAAATGTCAACTCTTTCTAATGTGTTAAGAAAGAAACTTGATTCTCAGGAGTTGCATTTTGAACACGGGACATAAAGACCAGCACTGGTTCTGGTCAGAATGTGCTGAGTCAGATGTCCTTTCCTTATCACGCACCCATGCAGTCCAGTCTCCACGCAAAGGACTACAGAGGACATTCCATCGACTCCCAGTCCCTGGAGACTGTGGCTGTAATGACTTCCTAAACACAACCCTCCCCCTCCCCCCGCTCCAACATTAACACGACTTCTCACCTATTGCATTCATTGATTTACATTTTTTTAGAATCTGCCCCCTTCCACTCCCCTCCCCTCCCCCGCTCCGATTCACACCCACATGTACAGCATGTGGTGAAGTCCTTAAATAAAAACACCAGAGGACAGCAAGGACAAAACTGAACCAGACTAAAGATACCTCCTCTACTGCTCTACTTTCATTTTTCACACTCAGTCATCAAAACAGTCACTATTTTTTAAAGGTTTGAATCTGCACAACACGTCCTGACAAACTTTGGAATCATAAATGTCACATGTGGTGAAACAGCTTCAACTGTAAGAACTTCACATTTAAACAGAACAGATCACAGTCTTCTTTCTGGTCTAAAACTAAGTCAAGATTTAAAAAAAAAAAGCTAAATGAGAATTAGAGAAATTAGATACTCCTCACTGCAGGTGTGATGTGTGTGGTCCTGCAATGATTTGTCCAATCAGTGCTCTGTGTTTGGCTGACGTCAGCTGCAATTGATTTTTTGTGTGTGTCATAAATATGATTTCCAGAGGAAATGCTGTGGAAACAACGTCAGAGGAGAGAAGATATTTTTTATTTAATTCTGATTGTTTTATGGCATCACATTCATTATTTCTTCTTTTACAGGGTTGCCATGGGAGCCGTTGTTCTGTGACGTCATGCCGCTGTATCCCAGTGAAACCCAGGTAGGCTGATTTGCCCCAATACTTTGCCAGTCGGACATTCCAGTGCACTTTTCCGAAAAGGAGGTTTGAAATCTCGGACTTCCAGATGTCATGGAACGCACCATTACACAGCTACAGCAGCGTTCCTGCAGAACCAATCAGCAGGCTCCACCTGAGATGTCACACACCTGCAGGGTTCAATCAGCCACACACCTGCAGCCAATCACACAGGCAAATAGAAGACGACAGTAGAGGGCGCTCCAGGAGATGTGGGAACTTTAAACAGCGAGTATTAGGATTGGGGAAAAAAGAGAGAAGGAGAAGAGATTAGAACTGCTATTGTTGTTGTTCAACCCCTTAGTCTGTAACAATTCACATGTGACCTGTAATCGGGTCAGACATCCAGAAATGAGGTTCTGTGCCATTAAGAAAACTAGTCCTGGCAAGGTCAGCGTTTGACCCTGAAGATGTACAAATCCATTATCAGCCGGGTGTGTGAAAGAGAGTGTGTGTGTATGAGAGAGAGGGAGAGGGAGGGAGAGAGAGAGGGACGGACGGACGGTGAGAGGAAAGGAGAGAGGGAACACTTATCACAGCCCACAGACACAGAAGCGTTCTAAAACACCGGACCGTACCGGCTCCGAAAAACACCGAAATATCACCACGTTAACGCGCAGTACTTTCTGTTTTTCCGGGATGTTCCTGTTGTGAACATGGAGTTCACTTTTCTTCTTGTGGATGCGTTACCGTTTATCCGCCGCCCGTCGCAGCCCTCCATCAGCACCGCTGACCGCTCCACAGCCGCCCCCGCCTCACAGGTGAGCGGCTCCCGGCCAGTGAAGAGCCGACGGGCGGCTCTGGAGTGTCTGCAGTCCGCAGCAGCTGCAGTGCCAGCCGCTCAGCAGAGCACCTGACAGATAGGTGAGGAGCCGTGTCTATAAACTATCGATTTCAAATTTGATATTGGTTTTATTTTCAACGCACACGAAAATATATAAATAGTTTTCATTGTTGTTTGCTGTTTTCTGAAAGGGTTTGAATTGATTTAAGGACAAAAAAAAATTGGAATCACAAATGAATATTTAAAGGTGAGAATATGTAAAAGTTGGTCCCATGTTTTCCTACATTTATGTATGTTGTCAGTGCATGTTGATCTGTTTTCTGTTGGTCTGGTACTTAAAACTGTTTCACATTTACTTTACAGACAGATTCGATGATCTGTTCTGTGTAGCTATACCAAACCTGTGGCTCTGGGGTCATCACTCCGCTGACCCTCCCTCTGTCTGCCCGTCTCTGTCCTCCCATCATCCCTCCACACGTCAGCTTTGACTAAATCAAGCTTTATTGGCCCGTGGCAAACCATAAAGAAATCTGAATTGAATAAAACAAACAAACAAATAAAACAGACAGGCAGAGATGATAGATGGCAGAAAAGATGCACTTTATTGAATCTTCAACATCGTTTACCATGTTTATTACCCAGCCCAGAGTTGGAGACCCTGGTCTTGATCTTTGAACCAGGTCTCCCTCTGACTAATGACTGAAGTCCACTGTGGTTTTTAAGTCTTTTATGAAGTAGTTGATGTGAAGGCTGGAGTAAATCAGTATTTCAGGACATAACTGCGTGAACCCTGATTTAAATAAAGGTTTCAGCAGTTATTAACGCCGCGACCTGAGCCCGTCTGTTAAACCAGTTGACCCGTGGACGGTCTCCTGATGTGTCGTTTGCGTCTATGAGGTCCAGTCGCTCTCTTGTCTCTTCTGCATCCCCATAAATCTTTGCCACCTGTCCTTGAATGATGTATTGCCAACACATCTCCTGCACTTTTTATTCATGTCCACCAGGAGCGTGGTGACTCACTCTCCCAGTTTACAGTTTAATTAAATTTCCTTCTTGCCAAATCACTAGATATCCATTTATGATTTTCAAACGGCGGTCGTTTCATGAGCAGCGCGGTGGCAAAGCGTTCATCGTTCATTCTTTTGGGTATGACGCAGGGGTTCTAAACCTGCGGGTGTCATCTGTTTGGCCTCTGGACTGGAGGGGATGCAGTCAAACCTTTATACCAAGAGGTTTCCTTTGGTGATGCTTATTATTACCCCAGGATTAAACAAGGTATTATCCTGTGTATTTTCCTGTGTATTTTGGTCACGGCCCAGTTGCCTAAGAGAAAGCGTTATACTCTTGATTAGTTCTTTAACTTGTCACTCATTTTTCCTATTGTAAAATAGAAGTGTGTTGTTTGTGGTGAGAAAAACCTTAATGATGTCAGATCTGTCACAACAGAAACATGATAGATGTTGACATGAGGCAGTGATGGCAGAAATATTTAGTTAATTGTGATAGATGTTGACATGAGGCAGTGATGGGTTCCATGTTTGTTTACCCTCAGGTTAATAAGTTTGTAGATGAAAATGTTTGGTTGAAGTTTTGTTAGTGAATGTGAATCTGATTTGGGTCAGAGTTAATCCCAGCCGTCAACTGTAGAGGGCGGTGTACATCCCGGGCAGATCACCAGTCCATCACGGTCAGTTCAGAGTGTCCAGTCAACCTGGTCCACTAATGAGCGTGGTTGTGGGTTAGACGCCCGCCGTGTGTCTGAGATCAGGGCTGTGAGTGACAGTCTGACTGACACAGTCGTCAGGACTGTCAGCGACTGTGGACTGAGCTACGTTGTTGAGGACGAGGACTCCACTGAAGTTTTAATAACATTTCCTGATGTTCGACAGCCTCCGTCAAGATAATACATTTTTTGTTATTGTGTGAAATGTTTTTCTTGACGTCTTTTCCATAATTTCATCATTTGGTGTGAAACACACACATCCACCTGCTGTCTTGTCAGACAGAGAAAAACTAGGGATGTCTGATATTTACTTTTTCTTGTCTTTCTGTTCCAGCAGCAGATAGAAAAAAAAAACTAGGGATGTCATATTGTCCAAACACTTAATTTCCGAGTCAATATCCGATATGCCTATATTGTCCAAACACTTAATTTCCGATATCAACCGATACCGATTGGTGGTGAAGGAAGTTAAGTGCCGTCTGCTCACCAAGGTGATGGGTTAAAGCAGTGTTTCGCAAGTATTTTCTGCCATGCCCCCGCTAGAGGACAGTAGTTTCCTCATTCCCCCAAATTGAAACTATTGATCACCCGGTAATATTTATATATTTATGAGTAACTGGCACCAACCTTCTGCATCCAATCCCCTGATTATTAAATCAGATTAATAAAATGAGCTGCAATGCTGCCATCTAGTGGCTTTCACTTTCATATACAGCCGTTTTGACCCAAACATATTTTTCGGACACATCATTTGGCCAAACCCAGGCACTGCGTTATCGGGTTTTTATTATCGTAGGAAAAATCCATAAAGTTTCTTACAGATATTACATAATTTTGCTAATATCGGCCAGCTGATATTTATTATTAATATTAAAAACATGTTTTTGTAAAATTTAACAATTAATTCAGCTGATTGAGTTCAATTAATTATAATTAATCAATTAAATAATTATCCACAGCCTCCTTGTGAATAATGAGACTATTTCTCAGACTTCTCAGTTTCTCTGCTCCTGGGGCTGAAGTCTGGATAACATCAAGTACAAAGAAAATGATTGAAATGGAATCAAATATGTTTCCAACTCAGCTCCACTGATTCCTGTTGTTTTGTTTTGCCGTCATGTCTGGATTATTGTTGCAATCTCAGGCAGGAAACAGTACTTGTACTTTTATTTATTTATTTTTTTGAAATCTTGTCAATCCCCGAGGGAAACAAAGGGGGCGCAGTGTAATGAGTAGATGTGAGAACTGTTTCTGCTTCATCTGCACTGCTTTGCTTTGCTTTGCTCTTTTCAGCACTCCGTCATTTCTCTACTCAGTCGTGCCCCCCCGCCCCCTATGTTGCTTTTCACTGCCCCTCCATCATGTGTGTACATTCAGGCTAAATGCTGTTTTTCTGGTATGTCCCCCCTCCGTCCCCCCGTCTCCCCGTCCTCCTTTTCTTTCCTTCAGCATCACTCTCTCCTCATGTTCTCTCCCTGACGTTCTTGTTGGTTTTTGTAGTTTTGTTGCATTCACTGAGTTTCTGCTGCCACGGCTGCTGACACAACCCCACCGGTTCTTTCTACACACACGCGTGCACACACACACGTGCACACACATCACCCAATCACCTGAGAAAGTCCTGAGCAGAGCACTACTGCACGTCTCATCGTTGTACCTGCAGCTTGTGAGCGTAAATCTGTGTGTGTTCGTCTGTCGCTGTGAATTAGTTTTCACTTCAGACCATGTCAGGGAGAAATAATGTCTAACGCACCCTCAGCAGATAACCACTGAGGGAGACGCACACACACACACTTCTTTGTGCAGTTGCACTGTAAGAATTAAAAATGCTACATTAGTGTCACGGCCCTGTGCAGGTTTTTAATTAAACGTTCCTCCTCCATCATCCTGTCCCTTTCGCTCTCTCTCTCTCTCTCTGTCTCTCTCTCTCCACTTCCCCGTCGTTGTCCGTCCTCTGCACTCGTATTAAACGTCCACTTTATTCATTTACCCACAGTGCAGTTTTCTGATCTTCACCTTTTGCCTCCCGATGTTGTTCCTTTGTTGGGGCCGGTTTATTTACGGCGTGCGCCCTCTGAATCTGCACTGATGTAAAAGAGTAAAGCCTTAAAGTGACTCAGACGAACAGAGGATATGTTTGAACAATCACTACCTTTAATTATCAAACGGTGGCCATTTTTGAACGAGTAACAGCATTAGCTTAGCATCTTAGCTTAAAGAAAAACAAGCATTGTGTCCTGTCTTGGACGATCACATGACGTCTTTCAGCCAACCCAGAGGGACCAGCCCAGTCCCTCGGAAGGTGAAAAGGTCAGAAACATGTCTAACTTGATAATCTCTCCTTTGCCTCCCCCCTTCCTCTCCCTCCCCCCTCTCCAGCTCCATGCTGTCCCCTCATTATCAGGAACACGGCAGCGCGGTGGCATGGCCTCAGGCCTCGCCCTGCTCCTCCACGTCTCAGGGTCCGAACCGGCCGCCGCGCTGCCGCCCACCGCCGATCAGCGGGAGCAGCGTGGGTCCCAACCCCACCTACTATCATGCCGTGTACGACGTCCGGGTGGAGCCCTTCCTCAGCGGGGGCAGAGGCAGTTACGGGGTTCACTCTGGCCACAGCTCCACGTCACTGGTCACCGGTCACTCCGACCTGACGACCCCCCCGGTCCGCAGGAGGGGAGGAGTGGTGGACCACAGGGACATCATCCTGGCCCACCAGGCCCACAAGAAGCACAACACACCGCAGGCCAGAAGGAAGCAGTGGGAGTGAGTACACTTTTTTCTATTATATATATATATGTGTGTATATGTGCGGAGCGGCTGCGTGTTCTGATACATGTGTACATGTATGATACATCTGAGGCCACGTTAATAACAGTGAGGTGAATCACGCCGCAGCTGCTACAGAATGAGAGCAGGAATACATCAGGAAGACATGGGCGACATGAAAGTAGGTTACATATTCTTGGTGTTGGTGTGTAGGCATGTCGATGGGGTAGATTCAGGCGCGCCACGAAATATGGAGGGCAGATCGGTGGTTAGGGTAAAATGAAGAAATACGTTGAAAAGGTGGGAAACGTCGAGTAAAATATATTTATACATTTTCGTCATCTCTGCTTTTGAAATCTTGATCGACTCAACAACATTCTGTATACATGACTTTTTAAATGTCTTATTGTCATTTATTGGATCATCGTACAATATCGTGAAACAAAACATCGCAATATTTCCGTGTATCCATGTTTTCCTCCAACCCTGATTCACAGACTGCTCACAGTTTTACATCATTCTGTGATGCAGGAAAAACAATTTGAGTTTTTACATCAGGCATTTGTTGTATAGAACAGGTCCAGGCTGTGTGTGTGTGTGTGTGTGTGTGTGAGTCAGACACTAAGACTGAAAGTCCACAGGTCGCTCCTTTAATCAGAGGTGGAGTAGTTGATTTGACCATTAGGGTAATGTAATCAGTGGAACGGGAGTGATTCCGGCTCCACTGCAGACTTCACACAGGTGAAGCATCATGGGTAAATTCAGGAGCGGCTCAGAGCAAGTGCGTCAATTTGCTGACAGTTGGAGGTTTTTAATTATCGTTCTCATTGGGATTGTGTTGTTTTGGAGCGTTTGCTTTTTTTTTCCATCAGTTGCTGAGTGACAGCTGGGTTCATGACGATGTTTTAAACAGTAAAAATTCAAATTTTCTAATTAATGAATTCTCAGAACTCTGTGTGACCAGACGTGAGGTCTGCCGATCCAAAGATCACTGATATTAGAACAGTAATAAACACGGCTAACGTTAGCCTTCGTGCACAAACACGTGTCTCTGAAACAGCCGTGTGAGGACGGCTCGATGGTCGAGGCGTGCGTCGGCGTCGGCCGCGGCTTCTCTTTGGTCAGTTTGTCCATTCAGATGAACTCCCAGTCCCAGTTTAATTTCCACCAGTTGATCCCAGTCTAATTGTGCGTAGTGTAACAGGACCAATAAATGCTGCAGCAGCAGCTGCTCCGACCTCCATCAGACATCACCGCCTTCTAATGTGGACGGTGTGTGTGTGTGTGTGTGTGTGTTTGCTCCGCTCCTCCTGCATCAGAACCTTCTTTACCTCCGTCATCGGCACCGTTTCCCTGCAGTGACTTCATTAATTGGCAGAGAACACAGATGCCATTTAGTCGTCCTAAACCATAAAATGACTCAAACAGGCCGTAACGCAGGAAGGACGAACTCTTCCGTATTAGCTCATTAAAATGGATAAAAAAAAGGGACGAGCTCTGACTAAGCTTTTTGTGGCCTACGGGAAAAAAAAGGACAAAAGTAAAGAGAATGGCAGCGAGAGAGAGGAAATGATGAGAGAGAAAAAAAACAAACCCAAAACGCTCCGTGGTAGAGAGGAGTGAGAGGAAAAGTGTTCAATTTAAATCGTGTTTGGATTTCTGTTCCTCTTTTACTGCTTAATGACGATGGAAACAGAAGTGGGCTGTTTTATAATGCTGAACCAACAGTTAGAGAAAAGAAAGAGAAAATATCAATAAAACTGAGAGAACTGTTGAAAATGAACTGTGAGAACAGTAAAATGTTCCAGTTCCACTAAGATCTTTATGACGAAACAACCTTCAAAAATAAACATGGGTGTCGACGTACTAATAGGAGAGGTCAAAGGTCACTGATGATTATGGAGGTTATAAACAAATGAGGTCAGAAGGCCAGGACGGTTCTCTGTGTTGATTGGCTGGATCAGTGTTTATTGGCAGAGTGGTACAGATTTATTCATTTATCACCACTAGTCTGTCAAGTGTGAATTAGTTTCAGTGTTTGTGTTTAGTTTGTGATGGAAAAGTACACGCTGACATGTCTTCATCACAGTAAAGACGGAGCCATTTATGTAAAAAAAAAAACCCCAAATCTTTCTCTCTTTGGTCACAGACTTGAATTCAGTTTTTTTTCCCTCCAGACATCGGTTTCTTCTAGAACTGTTGAATAGACACAGACACAGAGTGAGGAGCAGATTCTCTTTGTTACAGCCCAGAGATGAACGTCCAGTGTGTCTGTCTCTCCATCAGAACCTGTCTTTCTGTTGTGTCCTATTACTGCCAGCATCAGTCAGTCAGTCAGTCAGTCTGTCAGTTTGTTCTTCTGGCTCAGAACACGCCGCTCCGCTGCCAGCTGCACTCCTGACTGGAGAGGCCACATCACTCATTTTAATATTCCCTCTCGTTTTTACCCTCCTGGTCCCATCGTTCACGGCTCCTTTCCTCCGTCGTTTATATAAACCAGCTCCTCTTTTACATATTTTTACCATTTCTTTAAATCCAGTTCAGTCTGCACAGAGCTACTGTTTGACTTAAATATTCTGTCTCCTTTTTTTATTTAGTCTTTACCCAACAGACGATATATCGTCCGTTTCTTTCCCTCCTTATCTGCGCAGAGCAGTCTCCCCAGCCCAGACTCATGCTTCTGTTGCCGAAAACATGATAAATTAGTGCAATCAACCCCGAGAAGAAAGCGTTGTTGTTTGTAGGTTCAAGCTACTGCCCCCTAGTGTTTGTGGTTTGTATCATTATCGATGATGTTCGATGTTTATTTCATTCATTCTTTATTTTTATTGATCATTGAAGAGAGTAAAAGAAAAGATAGTTTTTTAATTTATTGTATTTTTTTACACGTGACACAGCAGTTTTTTCATTATTAGTTGTAACAAAAATGCCTCATACTTACTGCAGTTCTGATGATGACCACAAGAGGGTAGCAAACGTCCATATTTATGGATTTATTTTAAACTGTTTACAATACAATCCGTGACTAATAATGACGACTCTACATTTGATTTCGTAGCAGTTTTGTCTGTTTCCTGAGTATTGTCGTCGTAATTCACGCAGTAACAGATGTACTTATATGTACTGTAATTATCCCACGTGACTATTTTTGAACGTTTGACTTATTTGGGGATGCTGGTATTATTCCCAATCAATACGCTGCCTATTCTAAAAGTCAGAGTATTGATTGTACGCAATACTACTGTAATATTATAGTACACGTAGCGTTCAGTTTTATGCAATACCTCATGGGGCCACAGGGTGTCAGTCCAATACTCCAAATGGCGTACGTACACTCGACTCAAACCACAAGCCAACCTCAAATTATAGCAGCATTTTTAGCTTTCATTTTTAACGGTAAAGAGCGGCTCATTTGACACAACGTTTACTGTAAAACATAATTAAGAAAAATTAAACACGCTGTTGTCCCGCACTCTGCTGCCAGAGGGTGCTGTTGGCATATTGTTTTATGTGCAAAAATTCAAACCTATTTATATTAATTTTTTTCCCCAAATAAATAAATAAATACACACCTACACAAATGAATACATCTAATACACTAGAACCAGTGAGTAAAAGTGAAAAAGTATCTGATGCGATACTAATATTTTTAAAATATTAAAAAATATTAATGATGATATGCATATGACTCAAAATTACATGTATATTTTAGTATGTATGTTTGTATATGTATATGTGTGTATATATATAAATATATATGTACAGTATATTATATACATTATATATTCATATATATGTAAATTTGTGTTTATACCATGAAGTACACGTTCATTCATTGAGTGGTTTTTACTCGACAGAATCGGTGTTATTGCTCAGCACACAGTATTGATTAGTTTGTTAGAGCAGAAGATTCTGGATGGAAGCATGTGTCAGGGTTTAGAGGAGCGGAGACTGTAAAAGTCAGGAGAAAAAAAAAAAAAAAACTCCGGCCAGGCTGCTCAGCAGATTCCTGAGTAAATGGGAGGTTTAGAAAAATCATTGATTCATCCTTAATTTTAATGAGGACGAATCCACCGGTGGTGTGTTTGTTGTCTCCGAGGACAGAGGTGTGCACAGGCAGCACTTTAATCAAAGTACTCTGTGTGCATTAGTAAACACGTGTACTTTCGCGCCGTCATACTGTACGTGATGTACACTGTTTTAGATTTCATTTGATTAGATCCGTAACTAATGATTTCAATGATAATTAATGAGTTTCATTTTCTTTTCTCATGTTTTCAATGCGTTTGGTGAGAAATCGATTGAATAATTAAACTGCTGAACAAAAAAAAAATCAACAACTACTTGTTCTACTAAAATAATCAAATGATGAATTTTCAATTATTTAAATGCTAATATTAAGGCTGTCAAACAAATATATCGCTGGAAGAAAAAGTTGTGTGTATGTTTCAAACCTGTTTGTATTTGTGACTAATTATATAATTATTAATGTGGAAACATTCAAGAATTTTAATCTAGAATTCATCTTCATAGAGTTGGTGGATTCTGGTCGTTACTCCGCGTCTTTGAGGTGTTTTGGAGGAACAGGTGCTGAGATTTTCTTTAAAACTGAAGTTGTTGTTTGTCGTTGATCAGTTTACTGAGAGTCCAGGGTTCGATTCCCAGGAGAACCACATGCTTGGTGCCTGTTTACACAAGAATTTAGATCAATAGAAGTTCAATTTTTATTTATTTTTTTAACACTTCCTCAGTCGTGTCTGTCAGTCTGTGGTCTGTAGACCAACCCCTGGCCCTGAGGCCTGATGGTTTTTTAAGCTTGAGGTGTTTCTGTGAAATGAAGTCTTTTTTTCCCCCCGTGTGTGTAAATGACGATGTGTTTGGAGCAACGATACATGGATGGACAACGGCAGTGTCGTATATTATCGTTTTATTTCACTAATCAATGATCAAAATGGATCTGTTAATTTTGACAGAACTTAAATGTGAACTTTTTCACT